AAAAAAAAAAAAAAAAACCCAAAAAATAAAACCTTGAGTGGCACCTGGGTTGTATTTTCCCAGCATTAGTACTGCCTGACTTCCTAGGCTTCTTTTGTAAGCAGAACACATTTCTGCACAGTGGGTATGAAAAAGTGAAGAGGAAAGAAATGATGAGTTTTGATGCAAAATTCCTAAGAGAACTGGAAGCTATACTGTGAACTGAATAATGCAGCATGTAAGCCTTGACATTTTGTCTTATTTTTTTTCTCAATAGTTTTATTAAGGGATAATTGATATACAGTAAATGCATATTTTTAAAGTATACAATTTATTAAATTTTGACATCTGTCTACACACATGAAACTGTCACCACAATCAAGATAATGAGCACGTTCAGTACTCCCGAAGTGTCCCTTTGTGATCCCTCATGCCCACCTTCCTCAACCACTGCTTTGCTTTCTGTCACTGTAGTTTAGTTTGCATTTTTCCCCACCTTAAACCTTTATCATTTCTTTACCAAACCTTTATCATTTCTGTATCATTTCAAAATCCTCTTTCCTAGGTGTATTAGTCTGTTTATGTTCCTTAAAACAAAATACCTGAGACTGGTTGATTTATAAAGAAAATGCAGTTTATTGCTTACAGTTTCTGAAGCTGGGAAGTCCAAAGTCCATCTGGTGGTGGTGACAGTGACCCAGGGGCCTCGCATTGCAAGATGGTGGAAGCAGAGAGAGCAAGACAGACTCTCTTCTTTTAAAGCCCTCGGAACCACGCCCCTGACCACCATTTTTAATCCATTCACTACTGCATGGTCCTACAATCCAATCACTTCTTCAAAGCTCTACCTTTCAATTACGATAATAGGATTTCCCTCTCTCTTAACAGTCACAGTGGGGGCTATGTTTCTAACACATAAAACTTGGGAGACAATTCAAGCCTCAGTGAGTTTTGGGGGGACATAATTCAATCCACTACACTAGGTAACTGAAAGTACACAATAAATTGTTAATTACAGTCACTGCAGTGCTATGGAACAATAGATCTTACTCCTCCCATTTAGCTGTTTTTTTTGTATCAGTTAACTAGCCTCTCATGATACCCCTGCCTGCTACTCTTCCCGCTCACTGGTAACCACCATCTACTCTCTCCTTCTGTGAGATAAACTTTCTCAGCTTCCACATAAGAGTAAGAACTTGCGGTATTTCTCTTTCGACTTATTCTACTTAACATAATGTCCTTCAAGCTCATCTATGTTGATGCAAATGACAAGATTTCATTCTTTTTATGGCTGAATAGTATTACATCGTGTATATATACCACATTTTCTTTATCCATTTATCTGTTGACGGACACTTAGTTGATTCCGTATCTTGGCTATTGTGAACATGCTGCAATGAACATGGGAATGCAAATGTCTTTTTGACATACTGATTTCCTTTCCTTTGAATATATACCCAGTAGTGGGATTGCTGGATCATATGGCAGTTCTATCTGTAGTTATTTGAGGAACCGCCACACTCTTTTCTATAATGGCCATACTAATTTACAGTCCCACCAACAATGTAGAAGAATTCCTCTTTCTCCATATCTTTGCCAGCATTTGTTATTCTGTCTTTTTGTAACAGTTATTCTGAGTGAAATGATGTCTCACTGCGGTTTTGATTTGCATTTCCCTGAAGATATGTGATATTGAGCATTTTGTCATATACCTTTTGGTCATTTGTATGTCTTTCTTTGAGAAATGTCTATTCAGCTCATTTGCCCATTTTCAAATCAGATTTTTCTTGCTCTTTTCTCCCTCTCTCTCTCTCTCTCTTTTTTTTTTTTTTTTTTTTTGCTTTTGAGTTGTTTCTATATATATTCTATATATATTCTGGGTATTAATCCCTTGTCAGATGCATAGTTTGCATCTGACAAGGGATTAGCCAATTGTATCACTATTCAGTGGGCTGTCTCTTCACTCTGTTGATTATTTCCTTTACTGTGCAGAAGCTTTTTATTTATTTATTTATTTTTTAAAAGATGACCGGTAAGGGGATCTTAACCCGACTTGGTGTTGTCAGCACCACGCTCACCCAGTGAGCAAACCGGCCATCCCTATATGGGATCTGAACCCGTGGCCTTGGTGTTATCAGCACCACACTCTCCTGAGTGAGCCACAGGCCAGCCCCAGTGCAGAAGCTTTTTAGTGATACAATCCCATCTGTCTATTTGTGCTTTTGCTGCCTATGCTTTTGGGGTCTTCTCCATAAAATCTTTGCCCAGACCAATGTCCTTAAGTGTCTCCCCTCTGTTTTCTTCTATTAGTTTTACAGTTTTAGGTCTTACATTTAAGTCTCTAATACATTTAGAGCTGACTTTGGTATATGTGAGAGATAGGGGTCTACTTTCATTCTTCTGCATAGGGATATCCGATTTTCCTAGAACCTTTTTATTTTATTTCAAGATTGTATTATTTTATTTTATTTTATACTAAGTGGTGGGCACAAATCAATCCTCCTTAATAAAGTTCACAATTAGCTTCCCACAGAATATTTTAGAAATGCACATTTTAAAAAAAGGATTCATCTTACAGATTGTTCCGCAATCCAAATACACAATAGCTCGGAAATCAACGTTTGGAAAGCAAAAGTCAATGTAAAGACAGACTAAAACAGCAAGAACAGTACAGCTTTTATATGGCTCAGATTTTACAGTTTTCTTACTGCATCATCAGTACCAGAAATTTGTTCCTTCAGCTGGCTCCATTGCTCCAGATTTAAGGAAATACCTCTCTTCCTGGTTTCACTTCACCTTCTGGATCCATCCAATATTCTCTAATATCAATTAGAACTTTCCCTTTGAATCCTGAACAGGCCTCATTTTCCTATTCTGCAACATGTTTTCACCTCTGCTTTTGCTGCTCTGTTTGGAAGGTAACAGAGCTCTCGAAGTTTCTCCAGTCTTTTGTTTCTTTAAAGGTTTTTCTGGAGCAACTTGCTGTTTTCCCCTTGAGAGCTAGACAGACGTAGCCAATTGTAGTTATTTTTCTGGGTGTCCTTCAGTGTTAGGCATACAGTGGTTGCTTAAAACACTTTCTGAATTAATCATAAGCTGGCACTATTCAGGGTGCCATTTCCCAGGAACGCATTAGTAAAAAAGCCCCCAACCTTACCAAGAACAGCTGCAACAGCAGCACCAGCAGAAGCAGCAGGCATTGGACCCTCGACTCCCCACTCCATGCTGGCCCGGGGCAGAGCCCGGGGTCTCCTGGGCAGCAGGCATCTGCCGCTTCCGCATCTCTAGCCGTTCAGATCCCATGGGCTGCAGCAGGGCAAGAGAAAAGGGGGAGGGGGGATGTGGGGCAGAGTTATGAAGACGTAAGCCCAGGCATTCAGGTGTTTGGCTCATTGAGAAGGTGCAATGTGACTATATCCAGGTCATTTTTGCTAATTCTGGTAAAGTTTGGTGCTTAAAATCTTAGAATACCTTAATTTATTAAGCACTTATTTAATGTCTAGCATCTGCCAAGAGTTGTGATAAATTCTAGGAATAAAATAGCAAGCGGAGGATCCCTGCCCTGAGGCGCTCACAGTTCAGTAAAGCAGGCAGAGAAGCACATGCACTGAAAACCCTGCAGTAGGTGCTGCTGCAGGACACGTCCCGGACCCAGCGTTCGCTCTGGGCTGAACAAAAGGGAGCAGTTATAGGTGACAGCTTCATTACAGCTGCCCAAGAGACCAGCGCACAGATATGGGAGGATGCCACGCCCACAAGGTGAGACACTAACACAGCCATCAGAGGAAATGCCAGAAATGTCTGAGGACAGACTGAGGACATTCAAATCTCTACCAGCTGCATCACCTCGCAGAAGTTACCCAACCTTACTACGTGCAGAGCGCTTAGAGCACTGCCTGGAACATAGTAGTTGCTCAATTATTCCCAGGAAGCAAGGCAGAAGGGCTGGACTGTGGCCTGCCCAGACCTGCCCTGCAATCTTAGGGACATTGCCTCTTGCCGACTTCCATGGAGGTCAGGCCATGGGACACAAATGATCTATGCCCTTCAACCTCTGTCCTTTTGTGAGGATTACAAAAACGTATGAAGGAGGGAGGTGTAAAAGCAGCCAAAGAGACAACTGCTAAGCACGTTTCTACTTTTGATACTATCACTTAATTCTTGATGCAGCTAATTGCAAGCTAATATCAAAGATACATTAAAAAAACGTTAAACAGGGCTTCGGAATTAAATTCTAGATTTATTATTTTATTCCAACATTAGATTTGTCTAATCCTATCGACTATTACATAATGCTATATGCCATTGCACTTGTTTTAATTATTCTAATTTTATCTTATGTTTTTTATATTGGGTAAGTCAAGTTCACTTTATTTACTTAAAAGTTTGTTTTTTCATTCTGTTTTTGGAAGTGGGGAGCTGTCCTTTTCTGTATTTTCCCCAGTTGAATTTTGGAACCAGCGTATCAAGTTCCAAAAATATCATGTTGGGATTTTGATTAGGACTGCATTGAATTTACAGATTTATGAGAAGTGACATTTGAGTTTCCTTTAACTTCTCTGGTATGTAAGTTTCAGGATAGCAAGAGAGAGCCATCAAAGCTTTTTACTGCCAGTTGCCGGGGTTCCAGGGGAAGAGGGAGGGAGGAAGGATGAACAGGTGGAGCACAGAGGATTTTTAGGGCAGCAAAAGTATTCTGTACGATACTGTCAAGGTGAATACATGATGTTATGCATTTGGCAAAACAGACAGAAGTGTACAACACAAACAGGGAACCCTAATGTAAGCTTTAGTTAGTAATAGTGCTTCAATATTGGCTCATGATTGTAACAAAGGTACCAAACTAACATAAGACGTTAATAACAGGAAAAACTGTGTGTGTGTGTTGGGGGGAAGTATGTGAACTGTCTGTACTTTCTGCTCAATTTTTCTGTAAACCTAAAACTGCTATACAAATAAAAGAGTATTACTTATTTTTTAAAAAGGGTTTTACTATCCTTTCATCCACAGTGAAAACAATGCTCACAACACCCAATACTGTCCACAGTGCCCCACCCTGGACTGAGAGTCCAGGGTTCCTGAGGTGGTGAGTCAGGCCTGGTCAAAAGTGGAGGCAGAGACATTTGCCAAGCTCACAGCCACATGTCATGGGCCCCACTGGGAGGAAGCTGGCTTTGAAGGCAGAAGGAGTTCTAACCCCCTTTAATGCTCCTAGGGCAGAAACTCTTGGCTCAAGTGACTCCAGGCATCATGTTCTCACCCATTTGTGGCATTTCTTTTCCTTCTTTTTCCTCTCCTTTTTTTTTTTTTTGGCGGCTGGCAGTTATGGGGATTGAACCCTTGACCTTGGTGTTATCAGCACGATGCTCCCCCAAGTGAGTTAACTGGCCAGCCCTCATCTGTGACATTCAGTGGAGACACAGACTTGACCGTGGGTTTACTTCATTCAGGACACTGAATCACAAGGACAAGACAGCACAATCTCCAAACAAGGATGCTTTGAACAAAACATGCTCCAAGTAATATTTTATAAGAGATATTGATGCAACTTGCCTCATTAAAAAAAAAAAAAAAAAAAAACCCAATTGCTTCCCAGAAGTAAGAAGGATTGGGACATGGTACAGTCCAAGGGTTTAAGGGACTCCTACTTCAACATCTTTTTTTTTTTTTTTTGTCTTTTGTCTTTTTCCGTGTCTGGCAACGGATCGCAACCCTCAGTGGTGCCCCCGTACCGGACCGGGGACCGGCAACGGGATTGCAACCCTCGGTGTTGCTCCCGCGCCTCGCTCAGCCAGTGAGCGGGCACCGGTCTGTATGTGGGATCCGAACCCTCGGGTGGGAGCGCCGCCGCGCTTCCCAAGCGGCGCACTTATCCAGTGCACCACCTGGCCGGCCCCCTACTTCAACATCTTTGCAACACTGGGTCTTCCCAATCAGTAGATGAACTATCTATTCATTTGAATCCTCTCTTATGTATAGTTTAAGAGTTTTCTTCAAACAGGTATTGTGCATTTTTGATAGGTTTATTCCTGAATATTTTGCAGATTTTTGCTATCGTAAATGATATCTCCCCTCACCCCCAGCTGTAGCATAATAGTTACTTTGGAGTATAGGAAGGCTAAGAATACTATACTGAATTTTCTGATAGTTCTAATAGTCTTTCTGTTGATTCTCTTGGATTTTCTGGTTAGATGGTCATACTGTCTGTAAATATCACACCTGTCTTTTTGCTTCCTGTACCTTTCTAAGGTATAACATCTGTCCTCACCCTAATCTTTTCTCATTGGCCAGAAAGTTCAGTAAATATTGAAAAGTAGCAATACTACTAGGCACCATTGTCTTGTTCATGACTTTCCTTAATAGAAGATTAGTAATGCTTTGATGAGATGTATGATGTGTTGGAGTTTTCTGGAAGAAGATAACTTTACAAGTCAAGCCAGCTTTTTTCTACTATTTATGTAGTATAAAATAAGTTGTGCTAGCCTGTCTTACTAGTTAACATATTTTATTTGTTTATACACACAAATTTCTTTGTAGATGCCTTGAAGAATCTTAATGATTTCGTGAGCAAACTCTTGGAGAACATAATAAGTTCACTTCAGAACTCAAAAGTGAATTCTATCAACGTCTATTCTTATACATTTAAAAAAACAGCCATATTGAGATCTAGCAGACATACAATAAACTGGATATGTTTAAAGTGTGTAATTTGATAAGTTTTGACATGTATACACCCGTGAAACCGTCACCACCATCAACGGTGAACACATCATCACCCTCAAGTCTCCTTGTGCCTTTAGAATCCCCCTCTTGTCCTCTCTCTCTCATTCCTCCCTGTCCTGGCAGTTGCTGACCTGTTTTCCCTCACTATCCATTAATTTGCATTTCCTTGAATTTAATATAAATGGAATCCTACACTATCTACTCTTTTTGTCTGGCTTCCTTTACTCAGCATAATTATTCTGAGATTGGTGCATGTATCAAGAGTTGGTTCGTTTTTATTCCTGTGCAGTGTTCCGTTGCAGGTATGCACCAGTTTGCTTATCCATTCACTTACTTATGGACTTATACCTTTCTTTTCTTTTTTTTCCCCTTTTTGTCTTTTTTTACTGACCGGTAATGGGATCGCAACCCTTGGTGTCGCGCCCGTACTGGGGACCGGCAACGGGATCGCAACCCTTGGTGTTGCGCCCGCACCGCGCTCAGCCAGTGAGCGGGAACCGGTCTCCACATGGGATCCGAACCCTTGGCGGGAGCGCCGCTGCACTCCCAAGCGGCGCACTCTCCAGTGCGCCACCGGGCCAGCCCGGACTTACACCTTTCTGATGGCTGCTGAAGATTAAATATATAAGACATGGTCTTCTGCTGAACATTTTGAAATGAGAGAAAGAGAGGGATGTGTTGCTGAGACTGTGTTCGGCTTTACTGTACAATACACATGTGTGACACATCTCTGCAGTTTTTCTTCCATATTGAATAACGCTTGATGGTTACATTCATTGGCAGTCTACTGGATTAGTTCTGGATTGTTGACCATTTTTCTAATTTATAATTTCTCATGATTTTTTTTCAGTGTTCTGTGTCTCAATTCATCTTCGTGCAGTTTTGATTTGGTCTCATAATCTGTTTAATCTCTTTAATTTTTCCTCTGCATCATTAGCACTACTTATATAGTTTCTCAGAATTCTTACGCATGGCTTAGCAATTTTGACATGTTAAATCATTTAAAGATTCAATAAGTAAGTATACAGAAATACATGCTATTCTTGCAAAAATGTACTAACAACCTATCACCTCTCTGTCCCCCAGATTTAAAATGAATGGCCATGGCTTTCACTCAATTAATAAATGATAGATTGTTTAGTGGCGAGTGGTCATTTATACCATACCCTGCTGAGCTGTGGTGAAATATGACAGCCCGAGGGGAAGTAAAAGTGTTAATAAAACACGAATATTAAAAAGAAGCAAATGTTGACAGTAATTGTTGAAGTTGTGTGATTAATGCATAGGGCGTGTTATACTATCCTCTCTTCATTTATGTATGTTTGAAAATTTTCTTAATAAAGTTTTTAAAATGTTGAATTTTATTAGATTTAAAAAATCTATTCATATGAACATATAAATTTTCTTCTTTGAATAGTTAACAAAATGAATTACATCAATGCATTTCTTAATGTTGAGTCACTCTTAATAAGCAAACTCTTCTTAGGTCTAAAATATAATTATTCTTTTATTATACTGCTGAAGTTAATTTGGTAATATTTTATAATTTTTTTTTTTCAATCTATCTACCTATCTACCATCTT